ATGAAGAGCTAGGTGTTCATGGCTCTTCTAAATAAAAGCAGGGTGGGGACTATCCAAATCTGGGAAGGAGAGAGAATTCATTCTAGAGGGCAGGTGCTGTTACAACAGAAAAGGTGCATTTCCAGAGTCTCAAAATATGATAGTTTAAGCCAGAAGTCCCCAACCTTTTGGGCACCAAGGGCCGGTTCCATGGAGAGAAGTTTTTCTGCAGACTGGAGGGGGTGTGGTTTTGTGTGCGGCCTGCATCTCATGGATGTGGCTTTGCTTGTTTGAGTGGCCTGGTACTGGTCCACAGACTGGGGGTTGGGGACCCCTGGTTTAATCTAAGCAACTAAAAGCACAGCAATCCACTTGCAAGATTGGTCAGATACTATGGAAAACAGTCCCTCAAATAAATAGGTCCTATGCCATTTAACAACCAATATTTTAAATCAACCCAGAAAAGAAACCAAAGAACCAGCAGAAATATGAAGGATTGGGAGTTTTTATACTTAATTGAATGTGAGCTCTTGCGTTTCTCCTAGCTATGCAAATCAAGTGAGGCAAACTTGGAAAAGTAAATACACGTTTAAAGGATAACTGCTTCATGATTAAATAACTCAAACACTTCCTCCCAAGTGTTGACTAAAAACATTGAGGGTCTTCATAATTAGTGTCTCAGTAGTCTTGGCATCTTTCATTATGGATAGTGCCCTAACTCTCTCAGGATTGAACTTTCAGCATCTGTTAATACAGCAGTTATCTTCTCTGTGCTCTTTCTCCACTAGCTTGCTCACCTAGAATCATTAGTTTCTGCCATAGATATTTTAAATCTTCGGGGTTTTGTCCTTTCCCCTTTACTATTTAGCATCTACATCAATGTCCTAAGATGAGGTAACATTAGTATGCTGGCAATGTTCAGTTAATTATCTCCACCTTAGGCTGTTAAGAGATGTATTGGGGTCTTGATGCAGTGCCTGAAAGATGCTAGGACTACTGTATAAGGCATAGATGCTATTAGATAGAAGCCTGGTTGGGTATAGTCATAAGATAAGATAACCTTTATTGTCATTTTTTTTACTGTGGGCACAATGGCACACATCAAAAATAAAATTTAGTTGCCCGCTCTCAAAGTGAAACACATACATGACGCACACCTAAACATACTATGAACAACATATGTATAGACCCACATCCCTACATATACATAGCAAATAAATATTAAATACTGTCCATCTTGAATATAGAACGGAAGGAGGAAGCTTGAGCGTTCACAAGGTTAATGCTGCATGGAATGAAACTCTGGCTGAATCTGGATGTTCTGCTACGGATACCACGAGGCCTCCTCCCAGAAGGTAACAAGGAAAACAGGTCATGAAGAGGATGTGTAGTGTCCCAGATAATCTTACGGAACCTGCTCAAGCAACGCTTCTGTGCTATGTCCTGGAAGGGAGGGAGCTGCCAATGATCTTTTCGGCTATCCTCACCACTCTCTGCACCGCAGTTTGCTCCCATCAATGGAATCCTTTTGGACTCATAGTTCCTATTTTCAGCAAATTGAAGTTGTAGCCAGGTGAACTTTTGCACAATTGAATCTTGTGCACCAGCTTCTACTTTCCCAGGATCAAGAGGATTTGCTCAGCCAGTCAGTCAGAGATTATTGCAATACACTTTGCATGAGGATGCTCTTGAAAACCACCTGGAAGCCTTAATGCTAGAGCAGTGATGGCGAATCTTTTAGAGACCGAGTGCCCAAACCGCAACCCAAACCGCAATCAAAGTACCAGGGCCACATCAGTATTGTGGTGCCCTCAGGGGGGCAGGGAGGGGTCTCTGAGTGCCGCCTCTGGCACGCAAAAACCGGGGGCGCAAAAATGGACCACCGTACTGCAAAGCGCAAAAATGGCCACCACCACACCACGGGATGCAAATACAAGGTGCTGCACCATGCAAGAATGGGGCATGGCTAGTATCACGCAGGCACTAGCTCCACCCCATTTGCAGTGCGTGCATGCTCACGGCCCCATGAGCACATGCGCACATGTAAAATGCTTCCCCTCCCTTTTCTTCCAGTCCATAATCAACAATCGTTGGTAACCTCTGGTCTACCACCTCTACTCGAGTTTGCTAGTCGGCCGCTTCACCTCCTTTGTGCTGGGCAGGGCTCCTGCTAGTGGCGGTGGCGTGCGTGCCAACAGAGAGGGCTCTGAATGCCGCTTCTGGCACACATGCCATAGGTTCGCCACCACTGCTAGAGCATGCATTATGAGTATATCAATGTCCATCCATTAACAGTACTGGTTGTCCTCTTTAGTGCCCTACAAAGCAAGGGGCCTGTATGCTTCCCCACTACCTTTCCAAAGTTGAACCTGCTCATCCAGTGAAATCTGAGAGAAGTTTGCTAAAGAAATTCAGTGTCAGAGAATTACCATTCAAGGCTTCCTGGTAATGGCTGTCCTTCTTTGGAACAATTTATTCCCCAAATATCCAAAGAATCCCCCTTGTTACAACATTTTTGGAGAATCAAAACCTGTAGAAATACTTCAGAAATGCATTTGAGGCCATCATTTTCTCCCCAATGGTGCATGAGAGCGACTGAATACAATTGCATTTTTGTTTTTAATCTTATGTAAAACATATTATTGCAGTAATAAATCAAAGTTAAAAGTTCACAGACCTAACAGTATGGAAAGAAACTACCAATCTTGAAGAATATCAAGGACTTCACAGTTCAACCCTGAGCTCCATATATTCTCTTCCATCAGTATAGAAAAAGCCTTGTGCCATGTTTGTTTGTATTTATTTTATTTATAAATATATATTTATATAAATGTATATAAATATATATTTATATAAATTTATATTTATTTATATAAATTATGTATTTGTAAATAAATTTATTATTTATTTATTCTCCTTATGCCATGTTTCACATTCCTTAAAAGCTGCCACCCATTTACCTCTTCTAGAGGATAAATGGAAAATCTAGCAAGTGGGCTGCGGTCAAGGACCGCGAAGCAGCCCTCCCCCCCAACACACAAACAAAAAAAGGCGGGAAACGCTCCGCAGGAAATCTGGTTACTCCTTTCTCCACGCGGGGCTCCTCAGCAGCATTGAGGCTTCCCTTTGACTGCAACCCAACACCAACGGGAAAGCGGCACCTGCATCTACCCTGCATCACAGGAAGGCAGACGGCAAGAAAGATAGGCCTTGCTTAAGGACGTAATACCCATAGCTCTTCTTTAAAAGAAAAAATTGTTGAAACTGAGGAACAAGAGAGTCCTCGACTCCTACGATTTGACGGAGGTAAGGGAATCGCGCATCCGCCTCTTACACCCGCACGGTCACCTACACCCCCCCCCGAGGGCTCAGAGCCCCTTCCTCCCCACTAAGCCGGTGCTCGCGGCGCCTGCCACAAGGTCGTTAACATTCAAGAAGGAAAAGGTGAAATCGGGCGGGGCGGGCTCGTTCATCGCTCCCTTAAAGGAATAATACTCTATAATGACTCTGTCACCGACAAGCGTGCAAAACCACTCCAGGAAAGGCGGAGAGAAATGGAGAGAAAGCAAGCGGCAAAAGCGAGGAGCGAGAAAACTCCCGCGGGAAAGGCGGCAAACATCTCCACAACCATCTTGCCGCTTTTATACCATTCTCCGCGCTCAGCCGGAACCAGGTGGTCGCTGGTTGGCTGCGACCTCCTCCAATCCCAGCTGTCAGTCCTGATTTGTTTCTTTTTTTTTCTTTTTTCTTTTTTTAGCCTGGAGGGTGGTGTCACATCGGGCGAAGGGCCGCGTGAAATGATTGCAAAGGTGCCTCGTAAGCTGAAGGGCGCGAGTTGCCTATTTTGAATTAAATGTTTAGTTTTCTACTGGAAATCGTATAGAAATCCTGGATATTTTAATAACGAGCTCCATATAAGGCATTTTCAGCTTTCCCGATGAGTATGTCACAAACCTATTTCGTACCCCTGGGATACGAAATTACTGGAATAGCAACATGAACTAATATAAAAACAAATTTGATTTATAAATAGGTTTGTGGCATACAGCTCCAGGGTTTGCTTTTGTTAAATATTACTGATTAATTACAAATAACCAGCTGCCTTATGAAATGTCTCTACAAAGAGAAAATGTATATAAATACAAAATCTGAGGTAGCTAGATTGTTAAGGATATTTTCTCATTTGCATCTTCCTCACTAAGAGTCCATGTTGGGCAGGGGTCTTCAAACTTGGGCCTTTTATGACATGTTGGGAGTTGAAGTCCACAAGTCATAAAATTCTGGGAGTTGAAGTCCACAAGTCATAAAAGGGCCAAGCTTGAAGACCCCTGATGTTGGTAATATGGGAGAACCACAGCCCAGCATCAAGATTGCCACTCAGAAAACCTATTTGATTTTTGGGACCATTTAGATCAGAGGTGTCCAACCTTGGCAACTTTAAGATTTGTCATGAATGAAGGTGAATATCCTTCATTCCCAGGATAATGTTGGAGGTTCAATCTGTGTCCATCACTGGGACCCACCAGAGGTTTTGAAGTCTGAGCTTTCGGACTTGTGCTGGAGGCCATCTTCAGGGAACTTCTCTCTAGCAGAGTGTGTGCTGTTTATGGTGCCTGTTGTATGTGGCTTTTTAAATATTGATTGGGGTGTGTTGATGGCTGGCTTTTAAGTCATTAGCTGTTGTTTGTTTGTGCTGCCCAGCCCTCGCCTTCTACTGGTAAGTACTTGATAGGCTGGTGGTAAATCAGCATTCCTGTTGATTCCCAGAATTTCCAGTAGCCATGCGTGGAGATTGTGGGAGGTGAAGTCCACAAGTCTTAAAGTTGCCAAGGTTGAACACCTCTGATTTAGATGTTTGTTTATAAGCTACACTATACTGAAAAGTTTGATTTGGGATGCACATTCTGTTTTCTTTCTTCTCACCTTCACAGTGGGTGCTTTTATCCAGGTTAGGAATGTTACCAATGAATAATCGGGTCTGAATAATCTGAATTTAATTGGCTTCCATTTTTTATTTGCAGGAACACATTTAAAATTCAAAACCAACAGGACAGGAAGACTGCATGATCTTTTAACTTCTGTGGAGAAAATGTGTTAAAACAAAGATGGGTGTTTCTTTTGATGCAAATACCGAGCTATTTAATTGTCTTCACCTACACAGTATGAATGGGGGCTTTTGCTGTTGTCACTGAAGTATGATAATCCTTTTGGTGCTCGAGAAAATTTCTAGGAATACTGTGAACAGCCAAGAAAACAGAAATGGATCACCAAAGAAATCAACCTATAGGTCTTACTCGGGCACAAATGACTACCTTCAAATTATCCTACTTTGGACACATTGTGCAAAGATGTAGCTTTTTAAGAAGGCTATATTACTGGGAAGGGGAGAATGAAATGGAAGAAGAGAATGACCAGCAACAAAGTAGAAAAACCAGGTTAGGGACAATCGTGAACAAATTTTTTCCAAGTGTTGACACCTACTTGATGACACATCAATTAAATATGCATATAGCAAAATGAGATGTTGTCTCCTTATAACTGAGTGCTATTTAGATTGATGGGACTTATCCTCAGCAAAGTTTATAGAATTATATTTTGTAGCCGTAGTGGACAGAATATGTTCTCTCAGTAATTGCCTTCAATATCTTCCCCACAAGTAGGTGTGTTAATGGAGATCATGCACATTTGTAAAAAGGATTAACCAGGAGCAGCCTACAGTTTGAAAAATAAGGTAGAACTCTGAGCACAGATGGCTACGTGTCCTAATAATAGTTTAAACAGAGAGATGCAAAATATTAGATTATAGTGAAATAATCCCTTATCACAAAGGTCTGGATCTGTTTTGATGTTTACATTAAATGTATTTGAGAAATAATGGAAAACCTGACCAAATCTTCGCAAATTGTTTAAAAAAGAAAAGAATTATTACAGCTATTAAATTATTAGAGTTAATAAGGGATAAAATAAGTTACAATTCATTTAGAGACATAAATTCTAAAATCTGTACAGTCAGCCCGACAATCTCATGAGGATACAGAGGCTTTTTTAACCAAAATTGATCACCTGCAATTAGTAATTAGCCCTAGGAAGAAGGCAATGGCAAACTACTTTTAGAAAACCTTGCCAAGAAAACTACAAGAAATTTGTCCTTGGAGAATCAGACATCCTTGAAGGGAAGAAAGAAAATGGGAGAAGCTGTGTTATAATTTAATAACGCTTATATTACAGTTATTCCCATCTAACTAACCTCATATTTTAACTTACAATTATCAGTTTATTTCTTGATTAATGTCCAAATAGTTATTTCAGCAAATAGATTGCAAAAAGTTATACCTTTGGTAATTAAAAATGATTAAGTTAGCTTTTTAAAAAACAGACACTGATCAGACAATATTCAACATGGTAGATTTGATTAATTTGAATAGAAATAAGGAGTTATATAGAAATAGCAGTTATATCCTTGGGATCTTGAAAAAGCATTTGGCAATAGGAAAAGATATTAACATTAATACCAAAAACTTCAATGAAGTTTAAACTACATCTTCTGCAACGAAAATAATATTTCAGGCTTATTGATCAGTGTAGGAGTAAATCATCTTGCAACTGGAAATCAATGAGATTAATACTGTAAACACAGGTTTGTACAATTGACTATAGTTTATCTTTCTGGGGGAAAAGTTATTACTTGTATTAACTGAACTGTAAGGATGGAGTTTTAATATTCTCAACTGTTCATCTTCCCTTTGCCATACCTCTATTGTATGGAGATTGACATCTGACAAAGAAATATTATCTATCACACTTATCTAACATTGGATGGATAAATATATGGCTCCAATTACTCAGTGGTTTACAGAGTTGGTTTTATTAACAACAGATGAACCAATTTCTTTTTGACATATATTAAATATGGATGATTTTAATGAAATTTAGCTACTCTTTACTGAAATTGTAATTTTTATATATTAAGATGTATCTACCATAAATATACACCCTGTGGTTTTTAATCTGTTTTTATTCTTTATAACTTACTGCATTTAATTAATAGAGTAATAAAATACATTACATGACTTTGAGTAACGTGGGCTGGATTGGCAAAGAGAAATAATAGGGCTTAGTACAGGTAGTCCTTGACAGATGAGCCCCAAATTTCTATTGCTGAGCAAAGCAGTTGTTATGTGAGTTTTTGCTCCATTTTATGACCTTTCTTGTCACAGTTGTTAAGTGAATCACTGCAGTTGGTAAGTTAGTAATACAGTTGTTAAGTGAAGCTGGCTTCCCCATTGACTTTGCTTGCTAGAAGGTTGCAAAAGGTGATCATCAGATGACCCCCAGGACACTGCAACCACCATAAATACGAGCCAGTTGCCAAGCATCTGAATTTTGATCATGTGACCGTGGGAATGCTGCAACAGTCGTAAATGTGAAAAAGTCATAGGGTACTTTTTTTAGTGTATTGTAAATTCGAACAGTCACTAAACAAATGGTTGTAAATTGAAGACTACCTGTAGAACTTGACAGTTTGAAACAGATACTGTAAATTTTAGCTACAGTAAAATGCTGAAGGTCTGGAACTTCTAATGGACCTATGTTTTTCCCAAGTGGGGAATTATCAATCATTACAATGACTGGAGAATGATTTTCTGCTATCAGATCTAACTTTTTCTATTTTCAGAAAATTAATTAGGAAAATACAAATGAGAAATGACTTAATAACAGTTATTGTCCCCATCCTGATATCTTCCGGGATTCCCAGTCTTTATTCTTTTTTTATTGACAATCATTTATGAAAAGCTGTATCATACAACCACAGGCATGTCACCGACTGCTAGTTACCATTTAAGATTGAAGCTACAGTTTTGTCAGTATTGAATGCAAAAGCTTCAGGGGAGATGTCCTGAAGGAAAGCCAAACAAGCAAAAAAGGCTGCCCACCCAACCCCCTCCTCAAACATGAAAGTTACAAGCAGCATGGTAGTGTAAAGAAGCAAAACTTTCTAACAACTCTTAAAACTTGTAAACATACAGTGGATAGCCTAAGAAAAAATCTCTGTAAATCCATTAACTGCAGCTAAAAGCAACTAAACAAAAGAGATTTTGAGATAGTTCCCTAAGCCTATTTCAGCAGGCTGATAATAGGCAGAGAGGATTTTTCAAGTACTTTGGCCTCAGTTCATTTCAGACTTTGAAGTTCAAAATAGACACCCTATTGGGCTTGGAAATGTTCTGGTTATAGAGTTCATCCTTGCACATCAAATGTACTCCAGTGCAGGATATTTTCCAGACTGGAATGTGTCCGACATATCTCTTTAAACTGATAGCTGGGAAATTTAAAACCAGACTACAAACTAGAAGGATCGGATGAAGAAAAATTAGACATATTCAGCAAATCCACATTTGATGGCATTTTCACAGAAACTCATATTTTCTATTGCCTTCCCCTTGAGTGATACCTTCTTTATTCTTCCTGTCTAAGAAGAGGGACATCAAAGACACAGCATTTTAAAGTACCTACTGGCAGGTGTAGCCTCCAAGCACGCCAAATCATTTTTTCCCTTATGAGTCTAATCACTGCACAGACTTATTAAATAATGTCAATAACTAATTATGTTTGTGTGTTTTAATTATATTGTTGTAAAGCATACATAATACATGATACCATTTTGGTTATGTTTTGATTTTGACTCTTCTATCTGTTTTCCTCCTACCCCCACATAACCTTTGTTCTGTTTGTACTATACGTTGTAGGCCAAATGCAACCTGGAGGCTTAAGGAAGTTTCATGCTTCCCAAACGGGTTCAGAAGAAGGTGACAGAGTTGATACAGGTACCTGAGGACAGGCTGAACTCATTTAAATGCCTTGCTCGGCAATGGAAATTCTAGTCCCAATGGTTGTAAGTCAAGGACTACCTGTAGTAAGCAGAGGCAGTTGATATTACTGACATCTTCTGTGAAGAATTCCCTAGATTAATATTTCCAACATCCGATCATGTTTGAAAACCACGATATTAACCAACCTAATTTGATCAATATGTCAAATCTTGGTTCTAATGTAACATCCACTCTCAGTAAAAATTGATTTGAATAGTATTGATTACTTTACCTCCTCTGCTGAGTCATAGGTAACTAAACTATCTCAAATACTTCAGGCAAAATCGCTCATTCGTTTTAAATACTTCCTTAAATTGATTTCCGACTTCTAATTTCATTGTTTCTTTGTTACTTCCTTAAATACATTTGAATGTTCTAACAACTTTAAAGGACATTATTAGTAGAAACAAATGGCAATAAAAGTCCAGTAGCAACATGGACTTTAGGAATGTCAGTTCCTGTTTCGTTTGAAGTGATCTACCGTATCTTAAATTATATAGCCTGTCAATCGGTGTGCTGCGTGATTGCAATTGGCTTTTAAAGCCCTCATTGCTGATTATATCATCTGGGTCAGGATTCTGCCATTGCAAATTTTTTCTGAGTGCATATAAAGTGTCCTGAGTAACACATAACAGTGAGGGTCATCATTTGGCATCCTTGATCAGAAAACAAGCTGGGCAATAGATTCAGTGACAGCAGAAGACCGGTTATACGCCTCTACTGGAATAAACCACAAGATAAGCAAACTAAAACCAAAAAGGAAGTAAAATGTAGCTATTTAGCAAGAAAAGTTGATACAGAAGGATGATTGGGGAAGCTGAAATAAGACAAATGCTGACAGCAGCTGAAGAAATAGTCTTTGTACTGGCCCTAGCAGGATAGAATGACAGATGAGAAAGACAAGAAAAAGGAAGTGAAAATGTAAGTTTGAGGGCTGCGTAAAAGACTGAATACAGACCAGGAAGAGATGTGATAAAAATCACCCAACAGATTCCTTAGCACAGGGATCTCCAGCCTTGGGAACTTTAAGACTTGTGGACTTCAACTCCCAGAATTCCTCACCTAGCCATTGTGGCTGGGGAATTCTGGGAGTTGAAGTCCATAGTTACTAAGGTTGAAGATTCTTGCATTAGAAGACAGTTGAATTGTTGGTCAATGGGTTCATATGGAAAAACCTGATTCCTATTTGGTGTGGTTTTATAGTTGTGATTATAGAAGGGCATTATAAGAGAATTTGGCCATTTCCAGCAAACAGACTGGTGTGCAAAACAAAAGGTATGAGGGACACCCAGATGGCACAGAAGAACTGTCTTGTGGGAATGCTTCAGAATGGAATAGTGTTTCCCATCAAGGAATGGAATGGCCAATTTGCAGAAATCCCCTACATTAGCTAGCAAAGTGGTGACTTAAATATCATTACTTTTTTAATAATAATAATAATAACTTTATTGTCACTTTGAATGTACATCAATCGGCATACATCAAAATGAAATTTCGTTACATACAACTCTCAAAGAGCCACCACATCCGATATACCTTCCTTGTTCATGGCCAGCTCAAGTTTCAGATCATCCATTTTAGTCTCTAGGGAGTGAACGATGGCAAACAGGACAGATGGAAACGGAGCTCCATGTGGGTTAGCCCTCAAATTAGCTTGTATTCCTGCACGACAACCTCGCCCCCTTTCCTTTTTCTGATCCTGTCTCTTTAAAATCAATATATGGGGGTAGTGTGTCTATGTATGGGAGGGGAATGGTTTAATCAGTGGAAGATTATATTGAGTATTTCTGGTTTTGAAAACCTGCCAGGATTCCAATTTTTGCTGCTTTTTGTGGCATAAAAAGAGTTCTGCAGCCACAGTACTATAGTGAGGCCAGTTGAAATATTCAGTGTGTCTTGAGAGCCTTTGAGGTGAAGGTTATGCTACGAAGTTCCACTGTCCGTTTTTCACCTAATCATATGGGCACATATATTGATTCCTTTTATATAGTAGAAGATTGACATTCCGTTCCATCACCAACTTTTCCCCTTTCAAATGATTTAGAATGCTGGAGAATTCCTAAAGTATACAGAGCATTTTGGGATCCATAATGCTCATTCCACAATATCTTTACAATCAGCTTACTGATTGAATTAAATGTGAATCCTGGAACATACCAGACATTCCACAGGTCAGGCCTTTTGTAGCCAGTTCAGTCAAAAAGGTTTTTTTCATAAAATTTTCTTCCAAGATTTATTGAAAGAAAATAGGGTAAGATTACAGAAATTTTAGCTGCTGGATTATTTTCATTTTCAAACTCAATTTCTCTTTCCATCTGTTGAGGCTGAGACTTTTTCAATTTCTTTTTTTATAAACCAGCAAGCTGGCTGCTCTCTTCTCTGATAACTGAGGAATTTGCAAGCAACAAAACTCTCCTTGGAACCTCCAGCTGTGAACACATCATTAATTCAGATATGCATGAAGCACAGCTTTTGATGGGTGGACATCTATCCGAAAGTAATGGTAGATCATTTTAGACTCTGTATTTGGACATCAGTAAAATAACATTTCTTATTTTACAAAATGTTTGCAAGAAAAAAACATGCATGAACAGAACTGTGGAAATAGGAAACACCTTTTCTTCTACAAACTCTGGAATATTATATTGAGTTGGGGTTCTTTTGATGGTATCTTGTTCATTCCTTCAAAATACGGTAAGCCAGACTTGTTGGGTTGGGTGGCTCTCCTACACATGCATATACTCCATTGAGTCAAAGTATTCAAGCTATGGCAAGTTCCTTCTCTAAATATACATTTTTCTGATTTTAATGCAATCCATTAGGGTTTTTTTTTCATAAAGAAACATTAAAATAAATCACACAATTAGTTTCCAGAGTGGGCAGAAGTAAATCTTTTTCCAATTCCTACTGTTCTAGTCATCAGGACTTTTTTTTTTTTGTAAACATTTTGTAAAGGCATGATATTTTTTTTATTTCACAGAGTCAAAAGGGGGAAAGTGCATGGGGCATCCAAAGGGCATCTGTTGGTACCTCTCTTAGACTGAACGCATCTTTTCAGAGTCAGAAAAAAAAGGCTTTAAACCCTTCTCAGTGATAGGATCTTCTATAAATAGCACATCTATTAACATAGAGGATGACATAGAAAAGCTATTAACATTTCCATTCCCTCCAGCAGGAGCAAAATAGATCACAAGGTCTGT